GAGAGAGAGAGAGAGAGAGAGAGAGAGAGAGAGAGAGAGAGAGAGAGAGAGAGAGAGAGAGAGAGAGAGACTGAAAAACGAAAGTGAGATGATCTGCTCCAGTGCTCCCTGCTTTGCAAGTGAAATTCCCCATCCCCCTCCCTTCCCCCTCCCTTCCCTCTTCTCCTTCCTTTCTCCTCTCTTCTCCTTTCCCTTGTCCTATTCCCTCGCCGCTCTCTTCTCCCTCACCTGCTTGTAGGGATTTGCTCCCTTGAATGATGGCAGCAAGCCGTGGTGGATGTTGATGATGTCTTTGCTGTACTTCTTAAGGAACTCCGGAGATAACACCTGCCACCATCCATCCATTCATTATTCACAAGGATGAAACAAACACATCAGCCTCCGTCCAATCTCTCTCTCTCTCTCTCTCTCTCTCTCAAAAGACCCCAGATTCTCTCTCTCATTCCCTTCACAAATCATCACAAGCCATCCATAAAACAAAATGGTTAGAGATAATAATAAAAAATGCAAGGTTGGTGATACAGGCTCAATCGACCGATGTATTTGGAATTTTGGAGCCATGGATCCGCAAAGTGTTGAAAAGGACTCGAATGGACAATGCAACATCAGCAAAGCATCAACAAGCAATGTGCATCCAGATACATACGAAAATAGCATAATGTAGCGCAACGGAACGGACGACTCAAAGATATGACCTGACCTGTCAGATACTGATGCGACACCCCATCATACACCACACATGTGAGAGAGAGGGGAGGGACCGCATACATGGAAGAAAGGTCCCTACTTGAGCACGCACATTGGGAGATACAACAGACGAGGAGATGGGGGGAAAGGCGAGACGAAGATGGAGGTGAGGGAGAAGACCAAGGTCGTGATAGCAATGTCCAGAAACAGTCTCCCTGCCGAATGTCCAATCAATGTCTGGCATTGTCTGCCACAAAATGTCGAATCAGATCCTGGGCGGCTGGGCCTCATGGCCCGATGTAATCTCTGCCTAACCTCTCTCTCTCTCTCTCTGAAAGAAGAAGAAGAAGAAGAAGAAGAAGAAGAAGAAGAAGAAGAAGAAGAAGAAGAAGAAGAAGAAGGGAGGAAGGAGGAAGGAGGAAGGAGAGATGGAGGGTGAGACTAAGAAGAAGAAGAAGAAGAAGAAGAAGAAGAAGATGTCGTCCTCCTCGCTCTCTCACCTGCAGGTAACTGCCGCTACGGACTAACTGCCGCTGGCATGTCTCTCTGTGCAGGTGTCTTGTGTGGAGTTGTTACATCTTCGACGCACACGGGTCCTACCGGACCCGACTTAGGGTCGGAGGGACACATCAGGGCCTAAAGGCCCGACCTTGGGGTATTACAGGCCCTCAGGGCCTGATCTTGGACCAGTACCCGACGGGCAGGCCCAAACGGCATTATCGTTTGGGCCTGGCGGCGCTCTTGAGGCTGCCGCCCGCCGGTTGGGGCTGAACCGTCCATCTGGACGGTTCAGGGCATGGCCAGGCCTTGCAGCATTGAGGCCGGCCTCTGCCCCACCGGTATAAAGTACCGGTACAGCCTCACTTGGAGGCATCGAACCACCGGCACTCTACCGGTGCGTTATGGTCAGCGCCAGAGCGCTGTTTCGATGCGCTGAGTTTAGCGCAGGAGCGAGCAAGGAGCAGCAGCGGCAGCGCAGCATTAGCGCAGCGGCAAGCGGAGCAGCAGCAGGGCGACTGAGCGAGCAAGGAGCAGCAGCGGCAGCGCAGCATTAGCGCAGCGGCAAGCGGAGCAGCAGCAGGGCGACTGAGCCAGCACGGCGGCCATTGCCGCCTGAGGTACCTGGGAGCGGAGGACCTCTCCTCCCTCCCTCGTCATCTCTCTCTCTCTCTCTCTCTCTCTCCTCCT